CTGATCCTGGGAGAGTAACGTTAGACTACAATGCCGGCAGTTCTGACTCACGTAAGTACGTTTTCATTTAAAGGATTTGCCACTGATGATTCAAACGCGAGTTTTGGGCAGTGTAGAGTAGCACTTGTTGTTTGTCATTTCTCCGATCACAAATGCAGATAGAGTTTTATGTTTACGTGGCGCTATGCAATGCAACGCAACGCGTAAAAAGACACGGCATCAACAGTATGGTGAGGGGCGTAACATTTCCGTCACACGCTTGAGGTATTCGGCCAATCACAACGCATTGGATAGCTGGCCAATCACAGCACACCTCGCTTTTTCAGACCGATGAGCTTTGTAAAAATCGACGCATTTCAGAAAGGCTGGGCAATAATGTACAGTATGTGGAAAATAATGTGTTTTTTGAACTTTAAACCGCATAAACACATTTCATTACACCAAATACACAAAATAATGTTCTTTTTAGCAGCATCATATAACCCCTTTAAATTAGTCATTATTTTAGCATTTCTGTTTCTTGGCACTAGATTATGCACACTACACCTTTAAATATTTATCCAAATCAATTTGCTCACAATATAAGATGTTCATGCTCTCATATATGTTTGTTGAAACCACTTCTCGAATTATTTCAATAGCTGTATTTGTCTCGATTTACCTCAGTAATGTTTTCTTACCTATATTATTTAATCTAATTAAAATTTTCCAGAAATTTGATCAGTGCAACAATGAATTCTACTTGGAATAATTTTTGATTCTTTTATCATTGCATGAATGTTTACACTCAAATATGTAATGCATTCTGTTTCACTGGAGTGCCTCTTCACATTTTAGCTTTTTAGAATCTGTTAAATTGTGCCGTTTATATTTAAAATAAGTCACAAAGGTCATGCTATATTGTGAATATAATCACTGCAAATGGGTTTTGTTAGGCACAACACTCACTTGTGCCTAGTCAATCTTCCCAGTGTACTGACATTTGTTATGACATCCGCTGTACAGAGCTACCATTAAAACGGAAGTTCAAAGACAAAATTGTAAAGATGGCTGCGCACTTGTTTCTTTGACGCATGGTCTATTTACCCATTGGGCATTATTTCTTTATACACAATAGTGGGTGCAGCTATTTTGTAGCGTGTCATCCGCTTACACTTATTTGAGCTGTACAAAACTGTCTGTTATTCTGCTCGATGTTGCAAGTTGGTATTTGTTATCACATTCTTTTATTATCTTAATTGTAGCGCAAACTAATTTACTGTTTACTGTTATTCTTCTAATTATTTGCCCAGCAGCTAATGAATCAGAATTCTTGCACATTGGCAGAAAATAGCTTACTTCTGCCTTGGAACTTAACCCCTTAACCCCAATCCACAAACATCTGTTGAAAATTTGTAGCTGGACAGGTGTAGGCTTCTTTGGAATTTTATGACATTACATACGTAAATGTCCTATGAGTGCTGACACTACAATAATATCTGGGTCTGCATGGAGGAGTATCTTTCTTAAGAAGCATAGTAGAGTAATTAGTCAGCATCACTTAAGGCTGTGTTTTACAGATTTTCTTGCCAAGAACATTGCAAGAGTTGAGGACTAGATCTAAGAAAAGCATGTTCAGCACGTTGTTTTCAGGAACACTGCTCTCTAGTGGTCTAGTTTGTCTTTCAGGCAGTTGTTGTATGCTGCCATTTTCTTTGGTTTAACAAAATACAATAGCAACAGTGACATACTGTGCATTTGAAAGAAAATATCAGGAAACTAATAATAAATTAATTTATGATCTCAATCTTTTTGACTTCAGGGCCCCAAACATTGACAAAGACAATATTCAAAGGCTTCGAAAACAGTTGCAATATATTAAATAAATAAATAATTAAATAATTATTTAAAAAATCTAATTCAAATATAACTTTTCAAGTTGTTTGTGATTTCTACCCGACGAAATATTTTAAAGCTTGACATAACTAGAAAAATGTATATTTATTCCCTCATATATCCAAGTTTTCCAAGACTGTGAGAACCATGGTTCATAAATAAAAATTAAAGTTGTTTAGGGAACAAATTTAAATAAGAAATATGTCAGCTCACATTTTGGTTTTCAGCTGTTTTAGCTCATTTTAAAGCTTGTTTTGTCTTATTTTAAATAATTAAGCCATCCTGTGTTCACCTGGTTGAGAACCACTAATGTTAATTAAAACATTCATAGCCTAACCAGGCCCGTAACCAGCTATGAGGCCACCGAGGTCCTCGCTAAATTTTTCATGTTCAAAAATAAAACGAGTTCTTTGAATGACTAATTTGCTGTTAAACTCCTCATATGGATGCCTGCATGACATGTATAATTCAGTTTAGACAGTTTGCATGAAATGTTTAGCGTCCGTGATATGAAAATGATCACTGCGAGACACTGGCGGAGTGAACGAGGCTTGAGAGAGTTGTGGGTGAGGGTGCAGCTATTATAAGCGTTTTTGGACTTGTCTTTTCCACTTAATTTAACACTTTAGAAAGTTAATAAAATAGAAAGGTGCAGTTTAGAGTCAGCGATATCTTTATCTTATCTTATTTGCAAAAGATTGGAAATAATTTCGGTTTATTTTTATTAATTTTTAGTTTTTTGTTTGTTTTAGTATCTGTATCTGGCAACACTGCATCGCCGGCACTTCAACTGAAAGCAATCAAAAAAGCCCATGGACATGTTTTTGCTGATACGACATTCGGTAAGGGAAACGCAAACATTATCATGATATTATCATAAACGTTATCAACGCTGTCGAAAACAGTAGCATTTAACACTAGTACACACAGATCTATAGAACAAGTAGGTTACCGAATGAAATGAAATACGCAAAAACTAGCCATGAAGAAGTCTATGCCATGCCATGTCATTCAGTATAGTTAAATTTTCACAAATCATGCTATAAACTCACAAGAGCACCAGACAAAGTTATAGTTGTGTATTGTTGCAATAAACAACTGATAAAATTATCCACCCTTAAATGTATTAACAAATTTTGATGCAATAAATAGGGTATGATTTAAAAATAATAATCCCTCCAAAACAGAGAAAACATCTTTCACAAACATCTACATGTCTGTCTCCTTTAAAGTGTTTATAGTGTATATAATGAGTTGTATTTGTAGGGGTTATTATAACACAATTCTTTAACACCAACCTCCACCCCCCCCCACTAATTTTCAAAGCTTGGGTATGGCCATGCATGTAACCCCCTATGATATTGGAAAAAAACAAAGCAATTCAGATGTAGTAGCCTTCATTCAGAATGGCACTGACAACAGTTACATCGTTCTTGAATCCGAAGGCTTCACAGTTAAAATCTTTTGTGTTTCACTTGCATGTGAGGGGGGATTTGATGGCGTGCATTCACAACATTCAGAAACACAAAACCAAACCAAAAGTTCACAATTCCTCAAAATGTCACTGGTGGGGGTGATGACTGTCATTGATGGATACTGAATGTAAAAGCCCATTCATTGTTCTGGAGAGCACTGGTCTGTGGTGAGAAGGATGAAATGTGGAGGATGGAGGGGAAGGAATACTATTTTGGCAGATGGTCACGATTTAGGCGACCTCCTCCTCACCCTCCTCTTCGAACTCGCCCTCTTCGGCGGTGGCATCCTGGTACTGCTGGTACTCAGACACCAGGTCGTTCATGTTGCTTTCAGCCTCTGTGAACTCGTCCATGCCCTCGCCGGTGTACCAGTGGAGGAAAGCCTTGCGCCTGAACATAGCGGTGAACTGCTTGGAAATGCACTTGAAGAGCTCCTGGATGGCCGTGCTGTTGCCGATGAAGGTGGCTGCCATTTTGAGCCTGCGGGGTGGGATGTCGCATACGGCGGTCTTGACGTTGTTGGGGATCCACTCGACGAAGTAGCTGCTGTTCTTGTTCTGGACGTTCAGCATCTGCTCGTCCACCTCCTTCATGGACATGCGTCCACGGAAGACAGCGGCCACGGTCAGGTAGCGGCCGTGACGGGGGTCGCAGGCGGCCATCATGTTCTTGGCGTCGAACATCTGCTGCATGAGCTCGGGCACGGAGAGCGAGCGGTACTGCTGGCTGCCTCGGCTGGTGAGTGGAGCAAAGCCGGGCATGATGTATTGTTGCAATAAACAACTGATAAAATTATCCACCCTTAAATGTATTAACAAATTTTGATGCAATAAATAGGGTATGATTTAAAAATAATAATCCCTCCAAAACAGAGAAAACATCTTTCACAAACATCTACATGTCTGTCTCCTTTAAAGTGTTTATAGTGTATATAATGAGTTGTATTTGTAGGGGTTATTATAACACAATTCTTTAACACCAACCTCCCCCCCCCCCCACTAATTTTCAAAGCTTGGGTATGGCCATGCATGTAACCCCCTATGATATTGGAAAAAAACAAAGCAATTCAGATGTAGTAGCCTTCATTCAGAATGGCACTGACAACAGTTACATCGTTCTTGAATCCGAAGGCTTCACAGTTAAAATCTTTTGTGTTTCACTTGCATGTGAGGGGGGATTTGATGGCGTGCATTCACAACATTCAGAAACACAAAACCAAACCAAAAGTTCACAATTCCTCAAAATGTCACTGGTGGGGGTGATGACTGTCATTGATGGATACTGAATGTAAAAGCCCATTCATTGTTCTGGAGAGCACTGGTCTGTGGTGAGAAGGATGAAATGTGGAGGATGGAGGGGAAGGAATACTATTTTGGCAGATGGTCACGATTTAGGCGACCTCCTCCTCACCCTCCTCTTCGAACTCGCCCTCTTCGGCGGTGGCATCCTGGTACTGCTGGTACTCAGACACCAGGTCGTTCATGTTGCTTTCAGCCTCTGTGAACTCGTCCATGCCCTCGCCGGTGTACCAGTGGAGGAAAGCCTTGCGCCTGAACATAGCGGTGAACTGCTTGGAAATGCACTTGAAGAGCTCCTGGATGGCCGTGCTGTTGCCGATGAAGGTGGCTGCCATTTTGAGCCTGCGGGGTGGGATGTCGCATACGGCGGTCTTGACGTTGTTGGGGATCCACTCGACGAAGTAGCTGCTGTTCTTGTTCTGGACGTTCAGCATCTGCTCGTCCACCTCCTTCATGGACATGCGTCCACGGAAGACAGCGGCCACGGTCAGGTAGCGGCCGTGATGGGGGTCGCAGGCGGCCATCATGTTCTTGGCGTCGAACATCTGCTGCATGAGCTCGGGCACGGAGAGCGAGCGGTACTGCTGGCTGCCTCGGCTGGTGAGTGGAGCAAAGCCGGGCATGATGAAGTGGAGACGTGGGAAGGGCACCATGTTGACTGCCAGTTTGCGAAGGTCGGCGTTGAGCTGGCCGGGGAAGCGGAGGCAGGTGGTGACGCCGCTCATGGTGGCTGAGACGAGATGGTTGAGGTTGCCGTAGGTTGGTGTGGTGAGCTTAAGGGTGCAGAAGCAGATGTCGTAGAGAGCTTCATTGTCAATGCAGTAGGTCTCGTTTGTGTTCTCAACCAGCTGGTGGACGGACAGCGTGGCGTTGTAGGGCTCCACCACGGTGTCGGACACCTTGGGTGAGGGCACCACTCTGAAGGTGTTCATGATGCGGTCGGGATATTCTTCACAGATCTTGCTGATGAGGAGGGTGCCCATGCCGGAGCCAGTGCCTCCACCGAGAGAGTGCGTGAGCTGGAAGCCTCGCAGCTTTCTGCTTCCTTACGAACAACATTCAATACTGACTCCACTAGCTCTGCTCCTTCTGTGTAGTGACCTTTGGCCCAGTTGTTTCCAGCACCACTCTGACCTGCAATCATAAAAATTTAGCGTTGAAAGTCCCTTTCAAGAAAAGGCCATATTTTCAACACCTTCAGGCAGCTGTTTCAGGCATCCAAGACCAAGCTTTATCTACTTGATTTCTGGCAGATCCAGAAATCTCAAAAACTGGCCAAACTTACATTTGCATAACATAATTCAAACAAGCAACACCATCTGGCACATACTGTCCCATAAATGGTGTTTCTTGTGCTGAAATAGCATTAAAAAAGGTTTTCAGGTTGGTAAAGCCAACGTGCAACCAGAGCTTCTAACAGCAGCTGGTGATGACTTTAGCAATGAGCGAGTGGCTCTTTTATTTAGAAGGCGGGACTTATTGTGCCATACTCAATGAACTGAATCCATTGTGCCAGGCTCAAGGTCCACCAAGATGGCATGGGGAACATACTTCCCACCTAAACAAAGAGACGGATACAGCAGGTCATACTAACCAGACATTTGTTTCAATGTGCATGCAAATTTCTGTGCACATGCAGTGGTTTAAAAAGCCTGAGACCACAATGTTGGCTTATATTTTGCCTTACTAAAAACGATACAAATCAGTATTTTATACAAATCAGCATAACACTTATTGAAAATTAATTTTGGAAATTTGAATGAATGGTCTTTGTGTCCTTCTTTTGCTGTAATGATAGCAGCACTCAAGCTGTATGAAGTGTGTGTAAAACCTAATGATCATGTTATTCATGACTGAGAATGATTCAAAGAGTATCAGCTTGGGTTTTGTCATTTTTAAGTGCAAAGGAGTAAGCAATTTGACACTTTTGCTTACCTTTCATTAGTGACTATAAAATAATAATTATAATAATAATATAATTATAATAATTATAAATGTAAATATAATTACAAATAATTATAAGTATCTGTTGTCATAAAAATTAAATGTGAAAACTTTTGCATAAAGGTGCTGACAATTCTTGCTTCTGCAACCTTTATGATATTTAAAAAACTACCTGTGGCCTCATTGTAGTAAACGCTGATCCTGTCTAGCTGCAGGTCCCTGTCTCCATGATATGTTCCGGTTGGATCAATGCCGTGCTCATCGCTAAAAAACAATATATATTGAATGAAATGAGCATGAAATATGTAGAGTTAACATTTCATTAAGGATAAAAAAATACTAAAGAATAAATGATGCTGAGCAAATAATTAAATGCAAAGAAAATAATTCTAGTCGATTATTCACACTTAATATTGTCATATACTTGTTTTAAAGAATGTTTCTCTAACTTATATTTCGAATCGTGTGGATTATGTGCATTTTATGGATTCCGATGAATGTGATGTTATTTTCTTTCAGCGATTAACGAAATATAGTCTAGACTCGGATGCATACGTAAATATAGCCTATTATAGGCCTATGGTCGCCATGGTAACCAAGACTGGAGGAGAGAAGGAGGACCTTGAGCTCGTGGAGACACCGGATAGGATGCTGCCTGTGATTTGGACGGAGATGACGACTCTCCAAGGACCACTGGCTATAAAGACATGTCTGAAAAATATTGCAAAGGGAATGTAAAATGGCTTCTCGTTACAATAATAAACTACGGTAGTACCATGGTATTTTTTATGTGGGATGCTACACTGGAGCATGAGATAGATTGGTGCTTGACCAGTGGGATTTTCAATGGCTGATACTAAATTATTGGTAACATTTTGCAATAAGGTTCGTTAATTAACATGAGTTAACTACTTTAGTTAACATGAATTAAGAATGAACAACACTTTTACAGCATTTATTAATCTTAGTTAATGTTAATTTCAACATTTACTAATGCATTATTAAAATCAAAAGTTGTGCTTGTTAACATTAGTTAATGCACTGTGAATTAACATGAACTAACAACTGTATTTTCATTAACTAACATCAACAAAGATGAATAAATACTGCATTGCTCATTGTTTATTCATGTTAGTTAATACATTAACTAACATTTACTAATTGAACCTTATTATAAAGTGTTACCAAATTATTATATCTGGCCTTGGTCCATCAATCCTATTTTGATTCTTTAATTATTATGTCTTGCATTTCAATCCAAATACAGCTTTGCTTTAGACTGAAATTTTAACAGACATATGATCTATGTGCTTAATAATCAATCATAAGAAGTCCGTTTGGAGATATATATGGTAACACCATGAAACCATTAGAAAAAGCTTGTAGGTTCCATTTGGAATATTTTTGAATATATAATTTCCATTGGGTTCTATCTATCTATCTATCTATCTATCTATCTATCTATCTATCTATCTATCTATCTATCTATCTATCTATCTATCTATCTATCTATCTATCTATCTATCTATATATCTATCTATCTATCTATCTATCTATCATCTCATTTGTATTGCATCTATCATCTCATTTGTACTTCATTAAGAGCATTTATTATTATTATTATTTTATAATAATGCATTATTATTATTATTATTATTATTATTATTATTATTATTATTATTATTATTTTATAATAATGTAATGTCACCCAATTAGGTAAAATATACTATATATACTTTATGTGCTTATTTACTATACAATATTAATAAAAATAAATGTTATGCCTATAAAATCAGATCAACATCATATATGCCTATGCACAACATATCACAAACATACAGCTAGAAAAATCTGAAAAATCCGGCTATGCCTATATAATACACTGAAATGGTGTAGGATTTACTTTGAAAATATTTTCACTCAGAAATTGCTAGTAAATTTCACAAATAATAAAAAAACCCCATTGAATTAAATATGAAATGTTGAAGTAGAAACAGTATTTTCCTGTAAAACGTACTCCAATCATTTACAATCATTCAATAGGGTGTTAAGTTTTTTTGGCACTGTGCCTTTTTCATGACAATTAAGCCCAGACTCAAGGCATTTTATAGCTGTCATTACAATACTTTGTACTGCATTAGATTAATTCCTGTTTAATTTAAATGAGCATAAATTAAACAGCCCAACACCAAAACTACCATGATATGTGAGAATCACACAATTACAATGTAAACAATTAGAATGATTGTTTTGCATTACAGTAATGAGATTTGCATGTGCTTATGTCACAATGCATAAGTACATTTATACACATTATCTATTAATAATGTATTTAATGTGATGTATGGGAAGAAACCACACCTACTATTCAAATCAGACATGCTGAAGGATGTGGATCAATTACCATCGGCTCTCGACATCGTTCAAAACACTTGACTTCTAGTTTGACTAGTTCAGTGTGCTTAGACCCCTCCTTCTGTACTGATGCATGTCAAGACAGACTGAGCTCCATGAAACCAGCGGAGTGAGAACACTTCAAACTCAATAACAGCTCAACACAAACTCAACAACAGCTTCAGCTGCGAAGTCTAACGCAGACTACAATCCCTCCTGTTAAAACCCCAATACCTGCGAGAGGACATGTCTGCAAACCTTCCCGAAGCGGACCTCTCCTGTCCCGTGTGCTGTGAGATCTTCCAGGATCCAGTGCTTTTGCCGTGCAGCCACAGTTTCTGCAGGAGCTGTCTGAAGCACTTTTGGGAGAGCGCGATCTTTCGTAGCTGCCCCGTCTGCAGGAGAAGAGCCTCCAAGAAGAGCCCCCCTTCAAACCGGGCCCTCAAAAACCTGTGTGAAGCGTTTCAGCTGGGCAGAGACCAGGGCAGTGCATCTGGATCGAACATCCTGTGCTGGAGACATGGGGAAAAGCTCAAACTCTTCTGTTTGGTGGATCAGGAGCCTATCTGCGTGGTGTGCCAAGCCTCAAAAATGCACAAAGGTCACGACTGCTCTCCCATGGAAGAGGCGGCTCTGGACTGTAAGGTAGAGTTTGACAGTGCCACATTGTTTCGACAAACTGTGTTACATTGTGTCGTGCTCAATGCCGCTGTTACTGATTTACAGCGGCAGAACACAAGAATGCTGTTTATCAAGTTCACTTTGACATTATCTCAGTGTGTTCGGCCAAAAAGACCATGGCAGGCTTTCAAACAACACCTTCTGCATTCCCATCCTTCAAGCTCCCATTGTGGCATAGGCTATTGTATTCTGGGAAAATGTGATCAACTCCTTCCAAAATGTGACATAAATCTTTCAGAGTATCCTTGCACAGTTGGATCAGGGTAACGCATGGAGAGAGAAGGTTGTGTTGAAAAAGAAAGGCTTCATTCATTTAGTTCTTCTGCAGTGGTCGTTCTCAACTGGTGGGTTGTAGGTCTGTTCTGAAAAAAAACAAAACAATGCTCAATGCAAATACAATGCTTATCACGCATAGTTTGGATAGCACTATAAAGAAACATATTAGCTTTTAAAAGGGAAGACAAAACACTTCCCAAATCTTTTGATGTTAACACAAAAAGGTGTGCAACCAATCAAATTTAGGTGAAAATTAAAGCAAATGACAACATGGACAATTTGTGGTAAATGCCCTCAACTATTAAAAACCATTCTATTGATTATTAAGTTTTTAAGTTCAAGTGTTAATTTAGTATCATTGAGATACCATTATAGTTTTTTATATTTTGGATACGTTTTTATTTTGATATTATTTACTTTTTCATTTTTTATTCTTATCTTTAGGAACGAAGTTAAACATACATATTTGTTCATACAATCTTTGTGGGTCAACATAGCTCACTAAACATGAACAATAAACACATTTATTTAAACCATATACAAAAGACATCCACATATGGTAAAAAAAAAATACAATTATTACTTTATTTTTAATTATTCTATTAGAATTTGTATTACTCTCTCTCTCTCTATATATATATATAAATCATGATAACTAAAACAACACACACACACACACACACACACACACACACACAGGTTTGTTTTTGTGAAAAGTGGGGACATCCCATAGGCGTAATGGTTTTTATACTGTACAGACCGTATATTCTATTGCCCTACACCAACCCTACCCCTAAACCTACCCCT